TCTTAAAAAACTTGTAAATTTTGATTTCACTTGTAAATTATTAAACCTTTTTCGATCCTATCTTACACTCTGTACACAGTTTGTGCAGTATAACAACTTTGTATCTTATTCTTTTATTGCTAGCTCAGGAATTCCTCAAGGGTCTATACTAGGGCCAGTTCTCTTTAATTTATACATAAATGATCTACCTTCCAGCATTCACTGTTCAATTTTGTTATTAGCAGATGCTATCTTTCTTCAAAAAAACTTAACCAGGCTCTATGAGTGGTGCATCAGCAATAAATTTAAATTGCGCCTTCCTAAATGCAAAGTTATTTCGTTTACTCGAAAAAGGAACACTATTACTTATGATTATAAAATAGATCAAAGCATTCTCCCGCGATATGAAACTGTTAAAGACTTGGGCATATACTTTGATAAGGCTTTTCGATTTGATCAACATTATTTTAATATTATTTTATCCTGTAATCGGACGCTGGGTTTTATTATACGTAATAGTAAATCTTTATATAATGCTGACTGCCTCGTATCCTTATACAGAACACTTATTTTGAGCAAGCTTGAATATGCTTCCATTGTGTGGTATTCTATATATCAAACCTACATGTCATGATTGAAAACATCCAACGTAAATTCCTAAAATACTTATTCTTAAAATTTCGTAAGGTTATCCCCCCCAGACGATATAACCACGATCTTCTCCTAGTTGAATTTAAGTTTATCCCTGTTTTAGTAAAGCGTCAAACTAATGTACTACTTCTATTATATAAATTAGTTCACTCCCATTTGGATCTACCTCAAATGCTTGAAAAACTGAACTTTTTGGTCCCACGAATATATGCCAGACATCATTCAACCTTCAGCTACAATATCCCCAGGACAAATATGATTGTTAGATCGCCACTATACCTGATGTCATCTTTATATAATGAAGTTTGTAACGATATTGACATATTTCGTATGAGATATTCAACGTTTAAAAAATGTGTTGAAAGATTTCTTTTGAAAAAGTAGGTAATGTTTAGTAGTATTCATTAATTTTTGTATTAATTTAATATTAGTTTAGCCACTAATCTATCTGTCGATTCGTAGTTTATTTTTCTTTTTATTTAGTTCTTTTTTTACATACAATTGTTCTTTTGAGTTGTACGTGTAATTGATGTATTTTACATTGTTGGGCAATAAAGACAATATTATTATTAATAATATTATTAATTATATTATTAAATTTGCAAAAGTGATTACAAAAACTCTTGATTGACACACGGCCCTTATGCAAACAAAGAACTTGGTTGAATAAATTCAACTGCGCTCATTATTTTGTGGTTTTGGCTTGCCGGAACGGGGGCGGTAATTAAGCGAGGTGAGAAAAATTTATTTTGCGTTTACCAGGTAGAACCGATTTGCCTGAGCATTCGGTGACGAAAAAGAGATCTACACGCTACGCGATACATTGGAATGGAAAGGGAGGAGTGGTGCATGTGTGTTAATCTGAACGAATAATGTGAATTAAGTATTTGCCGCCATAATTTGCTATAGTATTTGCCAAAATTAAAAAAACCACCAACAACACATTAAAAATACTAGCGACTATTCCATGCATATGGGTTAAGAACCAATCTGATTGGTATGTAGCGTGGGCTTCTCGCGGCAAGCCACAGTAGCTCGGCATCCCCATTGGGTCAAAAATAGCTATTATTACAACTAGGGAAATATGAATACTATACATCCCTCGGGTTTCACCCTCGGGATGTAACTAGCCAACCTCGGGAAATAATTCATATTTCCCGTGTTGTAATCAATAGTTTTTTTCTGATTGATACAATATTGTTCAAAAAATATTGGATTCTAAATTTTTGAATTAATCGGATTGGTAACGTTACTAAGGGCCGTGTTTGTAAATATCATGGTTGGCTGCTTTGATTGTCGCGTCCTGTCATAAATAAAATTGATGAAATGTCGAACTACGTGCTATCACAAGCGGCGAAAGCCCGTGAATGTTTGGTTCCCGTGAAATCTAAAGCTGCTTACAGTAAAGTGTATGAAGACTTTCAAGAGTGGAGAAGAGAAAATTCGGTGAATGGTGTCGACGAAAATATTTTGCTTGCATTTTTTGAAGATTTGGTATTTTGCTATGATTTTTGTTATTTTTGACATATGACTAATTTATTCTATCCGTAGTCGCACAAATATTCACCAAATACGTTGTGGCCAAAATTATCGATGCTAAGGTCAATGTTACATTTAAGGGAAAAAACTGATGTTAAACTGTTCGATGAAGTAGAAGCAAAGAAAAAGAAAAATTCTTGCGAGAAGCTCCTAATGACATTTTTTTGATGTATAAGGTAAAAAGGAACTGAGTGCTGCTTGTTTAGTGAGAGAATATTCGGCGTTGCGTCCGCAAGGTGTTCTTAGGTTTTTCGTGGCTTATCGAAATAAGAAGTGTACTCTTCAGCCGGTCGGCAAAAATACCTTCGGAAAGATTCCGAGTAAGGTTGCTGAATGGTTGGGTTTGGATAATACGAAGGCGTATACAGGCCATTGTGGAAGACGAACATCCGCGACGTTGATGCCCGACGCGGGAGCCTCAATGACCACACTAAAGAGACACGGTGGTTGGAGAAGTTCGTCGGTTGCGGAAGGGTGTCTAGCTAACAGTATGTTGCAGAAAAATAAGGTAGCAAAGATGATAGCTGGTGTAGAGGGAGAGCCCTCTGTAGCATCTGTTACGGTTCCTGGTGTGTCGATAATGGCATCGCATGTAGCACAGTCATCACAGTCTTTGGTGACGGTTTCTGGAAAATCGTTTAAGACTGCAACTGAACTGAATGCTCTTAGTAAGGAAACGACCAACTCATTGACGAATTGCGAACAAGATTCTTCATCGTTTGTATCTGGTTGTAACCGTTTTAGCGGAAATTTTGAGAATTGCAATTTTTATTTTGGTTCTGAAAAGTAGCGTTACAAATGCAACAACTTTGTTAGTTCATAAATTATTGTTATAATTTTTGTTGCTATAATTAAAAAATAAAAAAAAATTATAGTGAAATATGACGATTCATATTTCCCTTGGGAAATATTAGTGTGTTATGACATATTGTAACTAAGGCAATATTATTCAATATTGTATCAATCAGAAAAAAACGGTGTTTTCAACCTAGCAAACCATAGTTACGATCATGTAAACAAATTAATTTTTTGACATTATTAAAAAATGGGTTCATTTGCCAACAATTCTTTCGTAGAAAGTGAATTAAAAATACAGAAGAAAATTGTTTATAATTATTGTGCTTTAGTGCCAGCTGCATGGAATAGTTTTGCAAAATACAATTCGTAGGATGAATATTTTTATAATTCAGACTTTTATTAGCAAACTCATTTTGTGTTGCGCTCAGGAAATATCACGAGTTGCGCAACTCCTGATATTTCCATCGCAACACAAAATTCGTTTAGGTAATAAATCGTCTGAATTATCACAAATATTCATCCCACTCATGGTATTACTATGGAACAACACCGTAGTAATAGAGATGGGAACTATCGTTACTTTGGTGTACTCGTACGTATTCGTTACTTTTTAAAAAAGTAATCGTTATTTATAATCGTTACTTCGGGTATTGATTACTCAATGAAACTCGCTTTGGTTTGGTTTTATTGCGGTATGAAAATATCTAATAATTTCTGGAATAATACAAAAAATATATTTAAATCGTAAAAAAATACAAAAATAAATCAAATAATATTACATAGAATAAAAAAAAACAAAAACAAGAAAACTTACTTATTATTTAGTAACTCTAAAAACTTCATTAAATTTTTGTTAGAGAGTAATCAAGAGTTAGGTCCGAAGGCCTGAACTAACAAAATGCCGCATTATTTTTAACTTACTCCTTTTTCTATATTCAACATTTTACTCAACTTGAAAGCGAAGTGTTAGTACATAAAAGTAAGAGTATTTGATTTTTAGGTTTAGTAGGTCGGTAGTTCTCGGTATTTCGGCAATCGGTTCTTGATTCCTTAGTATTTGAATCCAGAGTGCATACTCGAAATCACGAAATGAGCAGTAATCATTGACGAATAGTAACGATTACTTTTCAACTTCGATACTCGGTAGTTCGGATCTCATCGTGTACCGAATACTTTGTAACGAATAGTTACTACCCGTCCCACCTCTACGTAGTAATAGATTTGATGTTTGACATGAAAAAAAAGATAGGTTATGACAAACTTATAATGATGGCAGACTCAATGGCAGATTTTGGTCTTTCAAAACGATTTAAAAGGAGATAATAAACTCAAATTCTACAAACGTTAAAATAAATGAATTATAATTTGTCTGTATCTGCTTGTTTTCTGAAGACAACTTTAATCTTCGTTGAACTTTCAACGGCATAAAACGTAGTGCCGCTCTAACACTATGCAAATCACTAATGAAGGTGTTTGATACCAACTGACATCAACAGGTGGTGTTTTTTTTATTTGGGCAAAACCATGGCCGACTAGTATAAAGATTATGGCCTGTCCAAGATGTACCATACGTGCTGCCATCTATTAATAATTCAAAAACGACAAAAGAATTATTAACAGCTTTTGAAAGGCACAAAGGCATTCATATCGAAACAAACCACCATTACACGTTTTGAAGTCTAATAATGTCAAATCAAATTAAAATTTTGTTAAATTATTAAGTGTAATTATTAATAGATGGCAACACGTATGGTACCTCTTGGACAGGCCATAATCTTTATACTAGTCGGCCATAGGCAAAACTATACATATCGGCTTAATGTCGTCAATCACTCTAACAACGTTCACTGCGTAACAAATTAAAAACTAAGTTACATTTTTTGCATTTTGTTTAATTCTGAAAACTGTGTTGATATTCGCATTCATAGTCATCGCATGCAGCGAGAAAGTACCAAAAATCTATATGCTCTATTTGGAGTGTTTTTTTTATTTATCGATTGTTTACTCTACCACCGCTTTTATTTCCGTTTCAGATTCGCGGTCGAATGCTGGACCGCAATTCACGCTCCATGAAGCTTTCAAAGCTTTATCCAGGCACCCGATATTTAATATGCGTACTGGCTCTCGGCAACTGGGCATCATATCGTCGAGAAATTACACAGTCGCGTTCTGCAGTTCGCAATCCAGATAACAGTTCTGCACGAGACTCTCTCGAAATTTTTAACGATGTCATGCTACCTCTTTTGGTGGATTCACAGACGAGCAAATGCACCGAAGTAAGCACACTTGTGGCTCCAGACGGTGTCCATGTTGGACTGGGAGGCTTATCCGACTACGGTTTAGGGGTGAGTTAGAATGTACTATGTACCCTAATATAGTGTAGAAAAACTATTACATGTAAGTAAAGGAAAAGTATGTGGCATGGGGGTTGAGTATTTTGAGAGCTTATTTCATTTTACACATCATACCAAAGTTTAAAAAATTTGTCGCAGATTACTTCGACAGAATTTCTCTTGCCACTGAAATAACGGTTGTTCAATTAGCCAAATACACTGACATCATCCGAGGTCATCAAGATGGCAGCGTTTGACAACTAGCCGGTTTTCTCATAAGAGTCAATGCCAATATTTTCGGAATTCATTTAAATTTGAGAGTGTGTCAACTGTATTTTCATAGTTTGGTAAGTTTGTTACAGTTTCTAGACTGTGTAGATATCTGTAAAACGCACCATAACGTTTGAATATGCTTAAAAAATAATGTTTTCCAATGTGATGTACAGGTTAACTTCGCTGCATCTTATATTATTTGTTTTGCAAATTAATTCTTTGTTAATGTACATCAATGTTTTTTAAATACACTAGCATCTTAATATTATAATATTTTGTATTTTAGGAGAAAATGCCTAAATTTTGTGCTGTTGTGGGTTGCGCGAATCGAAGCACCAGAAATGCGGACAAATTTTATTTTCCTTTCGCAGCAATTAGCAACAATAAAGGTAAATATATACAGGATGGGGAAAAAGGCGGAAGCTTTGGTTAAAAGCCTTGAAACGAGTGGATTTAACGAAGCCAAAGTAAAGTATTCCTATGTTTGTTCGGATCATTTTATTTTAGCTACAGTACCTACCTATTAGATTTACAGTTTCTAACAAACTACTACATTGGTGCTCTTTTAGGTAAACCTGCAGATTTGTCGGATGTGGACCATCCTGATTACGTTCCATCACAAAATTTAGGATATCAAAATAAATCCACTCATAATACTTGTAATGTTGAAAGACACGGTTGTTTAAAAAAGAGAAAACTGAATAAATGTCTCTAGACTTTTGAAGGCACGAGTTTTATTGTGGGTTATTTTACTTAGTCTAAAAATAATAAAGTTTAGAATGGTATTCATTGTTATGGTAGGGACATCGTCTAAACACAAATTAAAATCACTTGCACTCATTGTATAAGGATCTACGCCGTTTAAATTGTTTAACTTTTGTACATATCTGTTTTTGTCTTCGACGGAAAGACATCGTGCATAATCACTTAAATTATCCATACTTTAAAAACAAATCACACACCTTCGCTTAAACCCGTCACAGTAACCTCAAATGAAAATATTAATTTCCAATTTCCCGCTTAAAACACACCGATGTATTTTGGATGACGAGGAATTCAGAACAAAACAGTGTTCTGTATTTTATTTTTATCATGTATTTCTAAACTCAAATCGACAAAAAAAGCACCCGGATACACAGAAAAGATATGAAAGAAGCTATTCACCTGTTTATTTTCTAAATAAACACCCACACTTTTAAATAAAATGCGAAAATGTTAACAACATCGCTTATGGAGTTTCACGGCGCTTGTCAAACGCTGAGTTCCCGCCACAACATGACGTCACGTGTTATTGGCTAATTGAATAATCACTCGGAGTACGCGTTGCATTTTCATTTGACACAAACGGCACGTCGATTCTGATAATATAAATTTGGCAGAAACGTTACTTACATTTTAAAACAAGTAGTTCACATGTCATACCTTTTTCAAAAATTCATGAAAATTTGATTTCGCGAATTTTATAGTTTTTCTGAGAATCTCTATGAGTTAATATAAAGATATGTATATAATATTAAAGTAAATGTAACGAAACGTGCACATGTTTCAACTGAGTTTTTCCTGTAAAAAAATTTCTGATGACGTCATCAACGTTTTTGTAAGCACACGTATATCAATGTCTATAGGTGGAGTTTAATACTAATAGAAACAGTATTGTATTGCCAACTTTTCGGGAATATAGAGTAAACCGTTCCTGATTTATTGAATAAAATAAAGTGTTTCATTAATTTTTTGAGTCATCTTGGTATAATAAATTCTAAAAAAGATTTTTGAGCTTAAATAGGATTTATTTGGCAAAATTTTGAGATCAGTTTTTTGGGGGAGATAAGTAGACATATTTTGATTACACATTTCTGATACTTGCGATAACTTTAAAAAGTTTGCGACATTTCCAAGTATTCAGTTTTACAGTACCATATTTATGCAATAAAGTAAATTGGCTCAATCATTATTTTTTTAAGTCACTCACAGAAACCATCTAAAAACATGAATGAAGTTCCTACACTGCAACAGTACCTAGTAAAATTTTATTGGTATTTCAAAGTTAACCATCAAGGGTTGAACCCACAAAACCATAAATCACAAATTCAGGCGCAAGAGCTCAGTTCGTAAAAGGTCCGTACCGTGGTCCGTACTGACGCTTTAGGCCCATCGTTTGAAGGATACCGGACGGATATAAACAACTTGATTCTTTTAGGATTTTCATGGCCAATATCTCTGTTAGTTTTATGGATGGATTTGTATAAAATTACGGCGCAGTCAATTTTTGAAGACCTTCACGAAGATGGAACTGAATTTCCATATAAAAATGCCCATTTTGGGTATGATATTCGTACAAATATTTTTTTCTACTTTGCCTCGTTCATGTATTTTTATAAAAAGTTAAAATATTAAAAAAAAATGTTCCACTCACTATATAGAAAATGTGATTTTCTTTCCTCATTTAAGCGCACAAAGTGTCACTTTACCTCCCGGCGTGGCCAAATCATTATTTTCGAAGTCTGAAACTGCACGATTAATTAATTGCACCACCAAGGGAAGGTGGGATAGAAGCGCGCACATCGTGATGCGGCAAACCACCGCGATTGCCATGCGATAATGAATGTACTCCGCCAGAACTACGCCAAAAGATTGGCGAACTTGTAAAAAATCTTCTTCCCGATAAAATCAAAACAAAATATAACAAAGCCTACAAAATTTATATGGATTGGTGCTCTAAGAAAAGAGCAACAAACATTGAATCCGAGTTTCTATAATTATTTGACATAATAAATTTATTGAATAAATATAATAGGCTGTAAACACAAATTATTAGCCTGCATAGATATTGTAGCCGTCCATAGAGTCGAAATTTGCGAATAAAAATAAAATAAAACCGGCTCAAACGGAGCCGACAACGGCTTGTAAGTTCTGTCACTACGGCACGCGTTGCATCACACAGGGGTGTATTTAAGGCCTATTGCACAAAATCTTAGGGTCACTGTAATCTTACTATTTTCTATCTACGACAAACGATTTGTCACACAGCTACGAAACCGACGATCTAGAGAAAGATGGAAGTTTGAAAGTGTATTTCAACAAGTGTAATAACCGTTTGGTGCAACGCAATTTTTTCAAGTAAACTAAAATATGACAGGAAACAAACAGTCCACGTGGACTAGTTTATAGCCGTGTTTGCTGCTAAGATGACCAGATTTTTCGCTCCACCTACCTCCGCAACGATGAATATACCATACCACAACTTGTGTACAGTGAACAGAGCTTCGTTTTTATTGGCGAGATTGAGCTAAGAAATGAAACAGATTATATCATAACGGAAAAGATGACATTTAATTTTAAATACGTCTCTGTGCAACGTGTGCCAGAGTGACGTCAGAATTTGCAAGCCACCGTCGGCTCCGTTTGAACCGGTTTTATTTTATTTTTATTCGCAAATTTCGACTCTATGGACGGCTACAATATCTATGAAAGCTACTATATTTTAAACCTATAGAGAATTTCCTGGCTTCAATATTTCTTATAATTTTTTTCGTTCTTTGGTTGATAAGGAGTCTTGGAATTTTGGGGAAGTTAGGCACAGGAAACTGCGAATACGGCAGCTGCATCTTCGGCAACAACGCTTTCACAAACGTTTTAACTCAATTTACTTATGTTACCTTCATTTTAGGCTTTTGTCATAAAATTCCTGTGGCAAGTCTCAACGATTCGGTGTCCCCAACTTGGCCTCAAAAGCAAAACAGAAATTATCTGCGGGTTGAGTGCTGATGATGAATGATGTAACAATACAAAATTAATTAAATTATTCTTCGAAAACTTGTTTATTAAATTTATAAGTTAAGTCATTTGTAGGTTATGGACTATGAGTTTTCATTGGCAACTGTCAATCTGTAGCGAGATAGCGGTAGATTTAATTAAAAAAAAACAATTATTAATTAACTGTATAATTAAATTACTGCCAGAATAAACTTAATTTAGCTATTAAAAGCAATTATGTTGACTTTGTTTAAATATTTGAAACATTTTTAATAAATGTAATGAGTAATGAGCGACCTTATTGAATTCTATATGTAGGTACTTACGGCAGGTTAATAATGTAAAATGACAGAAAATGAGTTGGTAATGTGCTATTTGCTGCCTTCTAAAAAGTTAATAATAGTTTCATTATAATAATGATTGTGTATAATAGATATTCAATTTATTTGGAGTTTAAGTGATATTTTATGTGACAGAGTATGGACGATTAAACGCCAAGCGATAGCGAGGCGAATTAAGTCCATACGTGTAAGAAAACTCCAAAATAATAGGCAAAATATAAAGGATATTTATTGACCACCGTCAATAACGGACGATCGGTATCGACTGACTTCTCACTCCTGCCCTGCTTCCCGAGAGCAAAACCCTGACTCATACAATTCTATATATGGTTATATGATTCCTATTCGCAATTCCAAAATAATAAACACGAGACATAATAAAAGTTCAGCATTAACACTCGACTTCTCGATTTTCGTACACTCGGCCATCCTGTCAAGCGGGCTGTCCGCAGACCGCAACCTCCACGGCAAACCGGGCATTTCCTGTCAATTCTGAAAAACTGGGCAACACTAGCCCGTGTGGCACAACCACCTTTAACAACAACGTCTCGTTAGCTGGACAACCCTGTCCGTGTGGTATCCACCACCTCATCATCTAGCAATTACCTGGACATAGTGTCCGTGTGGCTTACAACCACTTCCAAC